GTTACGCCGCCTTTCTTTGCATGAACATTTGGGCGGCGTTATGCAAATCTTCCCAGATAGTGAGGTAGATATGTGGGGGCGTGTTAGAACAAGGCGTTTTAGGTAGGCGTGGCTGACTCTTAACTTTTATAAAGAATATCTCTTTGGATTTGAGACTTTAGTCTTTGCAACTTTACAGATCTTCTTTATGCACCAAGAGCTTGTAACACTCCAAAGAGAAAGGAAAAATTTTAATCGCATCATATGACCCCTTTAAGAAATACTTCCATACAGTGTTAATAATAACAAAAAGATTATTTTGCCTTACCTGTATCTTGCATTTAGACTCCACCATTTGTAGCTTGGTCTGGGCCAGCTCTCTCTCTAACTCTTGGACCTGTTCTCTGAGAGAGGCTTTCACTTCATCCTGAGCACTGGTATCTTCATTTTCAGAGCACAGCTGAATTGATCCATCCATACTAAAGATGTGTCTGCACTGCTCACACTCCAGCATCTTGCTCTGAAATAGTATCATGTATCAGTAAATATCATCGGTTATCAACGGTTAAGGTCAAGGTCCTTTGAAGTCAGTCTGATTCTTACCTTGATAACTGCCAGCTCTTTGTCTGCGTGAGCTTTCTGGTTTTCAAGCTTAGTGTTCAGTTGAGAGCAAATCTAAAGGATGCAAGAAATTGGGTTGAATGTTAGCATTAAATTCAATAATGTTTATTGAATGTGTAGAGTTCTAATTGAATGTTTACCTGCTTGTAGTCGGCGATGATGTTGTTTGATCTCTTAATGTCTGCTTCTGCTTTGTCCAGCTCTTTCCTAAACATCTCTTTAAGCTGTTGAACACATCAGTACTTTACACAAGGCCAGAGATTGTCCAAACACTTTACTGTGGACATCAGTGACATTAAAGCTCACCTGTGAAGCCTCCTCCTCCTTTCCCTTTTTCTCCTCCTCTGTAATCATCAGAAGCTGTTTGGTTTTCAAAAGCTCTTTGGTTAATTCATCCACCTGGTCCTCGGTCTGAAAAACACAGCAGATGTAGCTAAACACACACAGCAAATAAAACAGAAAACGAAACTGGCCTGTTGCGTATGACATGACTCGTAATAATTTGACAGACCTGATCTAGAGCATTCCTCAGTGCAATCTTGCTGGTGACCAGTTTTTGTGCAAGGTCATCATTCTCCTGCTCCAGGCGCAAACTGGTCTCCTGAAGTGTACGGTTTTCTCTCTGGAAAGAGAAAGCATTCTTTTATTCCACAGATCTAAAACCCAATGCATGATTATGCAATTTTCACAAAGCGTAAATGTTGAAAGACTTGTGGAGGAGGACAGAAGCTTTTTGTTTTTGCCAGGGTGTGATATCTTACCTCGTACCTGTCGAGTGGGTCTTCTGGCTGCACTTGGTTATGTCTTAATTTTGGCTTTTTAGAGGAAACCTGTTCAAAAAGAATAATATCAGGTGTGCAATTCTTAAAGGCATGAAATGAATGTACTGTAACATATTATACAGTATTGATTTCAGGATTGATATGAGCTTTATTTCTTGAAATTTTTATTAATTTATATTTAAGTACACTAATTCATTTTATATATATACTGTGTGTGTGTGTATACAGTATATATATATATATATATATATATATATTAATAAAATTATATATGTAAATTATGTAAATTAATAAATTCATGATAAAATGCTAAAACATTCTAAAAATAATTTCTTTTGTACATCATGTATTTATTATAATATTATATATAATATATATGTTCTTATAAGCACCAAGGAGTATACGATCGCAAAAAGTAAATGATTGCAAATGCACTAATACTGTATTTCAACATTGCTGTAAAGAGATTTGAATCAAAACATGCTATCGTGCTACGCCTTAAAAATTCCAGCATGCCAGGTTTGAATCAACGTGACAAACATGAGGTCAAAGGCTGCTGAACTTACCACTTGCTTTGGTAGAGTCTCCACTACTAGACTAGCCAGGATCTCCTCCTCTGACATCTGGTCAATCATATGGGCATCATAGGCCACAGCAATAGACACTTCTTCCATCATTTTGGCAGGTGAGTAGAACGCAAGCGATCTCTACAAAGTACAAAGTAAGCAGCTAAACTTGTCTGGAGAAATAACAACAGGTTTGACAGGCAGCAGTCTATATCTGTCTGTCCCAGCGCAAGCCCTGCCCCAACGTAAGACTATAGGATGGGATTCATTTCAGTCCACCTTTATCCTCTGGATCTTCACTTACCTAATAAGCAGGTACCAAAACTCTTCCAACTGCTCCTATTCAACTTCCTTACAATATTATTCCACAATCCAGCAGTCAATACTAATTATTTCCACACACAATTTCCTCATTGCTGAAGCAAAACTCAGTTAAATATTATTAAAATGATTAATCCAACACAAGTAGGACCTGGAAGCTGGAACAGATATATTTTTCAGAAGAGCTTTTAGCGTCACCGTTTAGACTTTGCTAGCCTGCCTGCGTGTTCAAGCTCAGGGCTAAAGACTGTGAAATTGAAATTCTTGCTGTAATCCTGTAGGTCGCCTCTTACACAAAAACACAGTGGTTTTCCTGGGACAAGCAGGTGCCAGTACATTCCTCCATTCCTTAAGCTGCTTATATCTGGCCGCTGTATGTTCAGCAGGATTGATGGAGGCTGTGAACTGTTTTTATCATCTCACTGCAGCTTCAGGGAGGCATAATGCAGATATTATTTATCAAAACTGGTTAAAAAGCACTAGATTTTCTTGTAAAACTATGTATGTTTCTTTGTCTGTTATACAGAGATAATCTGTTGTGGTCATCAGCCTGAACAATGCCAAGCTAATAAAGGGAAAAGAGAAGGGGACAAAAGTGAACAAAAGTGGGGGAGGATGTTATTAGTAATTGAAAGAAAGGAGGAGAAGAGAGCAATAAAGACAAACAGCAAAGTGTCACGATGTTCAAAGGTTCTTGTATTGGAGGAGGTGCCACCTCTCAGTCTTCAGGTTTCGTCATGATCCTGTGAAGCAAACAAACGCACAACTCTCTCCAGGGGGAGTGACTCTCTAATTCGTTTGTTAAGTGTGCTGCTTATTATGGCTGAAAACTCAATGGAAAGCTTCATCATGCTGAGAGTGAAATTCTTTACATTTGCTGAACTGCAATGCAAATGAGATGCATGAAACAGCTATTTGTTTATCAAGATCTTAAACTGGTCCTTCAAGTAGTTTAACACAATACACAGAGAGAATGCAGTCCCAGCCCTGCTTGGCACTCCCAAATGCCAAATGTCTTCAGCGCTTTAAGATGTAAAGATGTAAAGAAGTAAAGATTTTGTCAAAATTACATAAAATGTGTTTTCTCAAGCAGTGGTTATGTACACTATACCATTCAGAAGTTTGGGGTCAGTAAGATTCTTTTGAAGAAATGAATAGTTTTATTAAGTAAGCATACATCAAATTGATCAAAACTGAGAGTAAAACATTTACATTGTTTGGAAAAATCTATTTCAAATAAGTGCTGTTCTTTTGAAGTTTCTATTGATCAAAAACATCCAGAAAAAAAAAAACTATCATGGTTATGGCTGTTGAAAATCCAGCTTTTCCATCACAGGTATAAATTATTAAAAAATAAATAAATAAAAAATAGTAATAATATTTTACAAAATTACATTTTTTTTTTTTTTATAATTGCAGCCTTGGTGAAAAAGACTTCATAAGCATAACTTAATAATAATAATAAAAAAAAAATAATAATAATAATACTGACCCCAAATTTTTAGTGTCAATAAATGTTGATTTCAGATACTTGCTTCAAAACCCCTTTAAATGTTTTTGCTATTGATTCTGTCTAAGCTAGAATAACACTATCATCATATTTTGCTAGCTGTTGAGTAAATAAGTGAACACAAAAAGGCACACTGGCATTCAGAGTCAACTATGTACTTATTTAACTTTTGCTTACTTAAACTTACCCTATATATGATGTGCTATTGGGGCATGTTGTCACAAAATGTCAACATGTGTTCAGTGAACTGGGGAGTAAAAGTGAAAATGTTCAGTCGTTTTTTAATATGTTTGACAACCAGTTTTTTATGGTTTTACTTAATCCACTAAGTGCCAAAGCAGCTCCATGAATAAGAATATCGAAGAATATAGCATTGGCAGTCAGCTTTTAGATACAGATAGATATAGACTTGACAGGAAACATTTCAATCATTGAAATAATTTGATCTTTATGTACATGTATTTGTATAGATGTGAAATGGCTTTTATTACTCTGATCACAATTGACCAATTTTATAAAAGTCTACAGGCATTTATAAATGCTTCATTTATATTCAAAAGCATTCTGTGAAACATGTGGACAATAGGCTACTCTTTTTTCCCCCTCAGTATTTTAAACCATAGACTGATATACTTAAATTTCTTTCCCTATTTTTGCCAAAAAGTATTTACATGTAAAATATAAGTGCCATCCTGTGATTTGTAATGTGATCCAGTTACAAACAAAGAGTGCTTCAGAGAGAGTGAACACAGACATCAGAATGCACAATTCATAAACCAATGGCTACTGAAACAAGTATGTGAGAAAATATAATAATTTACATAAACAAACTTGCAAAGACAAGGAAACTATCGTTCCTATAAGTATAATTTCCACTGCCATAATATCATACAAACAGGGACAAGATAATGAAATGTTTTCAATATTTTCCAGTCATTTCCTCTCAGTGCCTCAGAAGATTTTTTGAAAATGCTGCATATAAATTTGAAAATGATATGCCATCGGAGATTTCTGCAATGCTACTTTAAAAAGCTCTTAATTGTAGTATTGTAGTGGATATGGACAAAAAAAAGTGAGAATTAACAATTCAAATTCAACCTCAGTATTATGATAACTCAACAACTGTCAACATTCTGTGCCATTGTGAATTTTAGTTAATGTGACACATATATTCAAATATAAACTGACCAATATAATCATCATCAGTTATTCATTTAACATTTTCCCAACTGTTCAACACACATAAAGACAATCACATTTTGGTTAATTCCTCATCCTAAAATAAGTTTTTCAAAGACAAAGATTCAGTATATCGGGGATATTTAGATAAAGCTGAATGTCATGCTCTTTTCAACAAAGATACTTTTTTTTTAAAGCTATTAAAAATTTGTGTGGAATGTTTGCCTTTTATGTCACGAAAAAACAACAAAATACTTGAGATGAGCCTAAAAAGCTTCCTTGGGCTGCTCCATTTCGATTTTCTGACTATAATATATGCTTTATCTGACTTTTCCAGATAAATAAAACACCCTATTTGCATTTAACCTTTAAAACTTACATTAAAAAGGCCAAAAACTCCACAAACACTTCATGTCATAACACACGGCCCTCAAAGCACAAAAGGGAGGGATGTGCAAGAAGAAGAGGTAAACAGCAGGTAAAACAAAAGACAATGGAAGACTAAAGATGGCCTTAGACCCGTGTGGAAGAATAACATGGCATCCCGTAGGTCTTTTTAACTCTTGGCGCGTGGAGATGTAACTGCCCCAGTTGCTCTGTTCCACAGAGTGGTTCTGTCCCTGGGTCCATCTCCGGGTCTGTGAGGGTCAGACGTCAGTGCTGATGGCTCGTGTATTGGTGTAAAAGTCCGGCGTACTGCGATGGCTCAGAACGGGGCCGTACATGGCGGCCAGACCAAGGGCAGTGGTGCCATGGTTCTCGTAGTGAGTGGGCATGTAGGACAGGCGTTCGCCGCCGTTCCGCATCTCATCTGTGCCACGGAGGTAGTAGGGTGAGCAAGTCGGGCAGTAGCTGTGAGGCGGAGCAGGGTTGTAGGGCAGCGAGAGAGGTGTGACGGCCGCCCCGTCCACTCCCGGAGCGCTGCATGTGTTGCATGCGAACTGTGGCTGAGGATCTCCGACCGAGCCCGCCTCCCCTTCTGACTCATTCCTCTTACAGCAGTAATACTAGGATGGAGGGACGGTTTGATATACAGAGGAAACTAGATTAGACACTGGGCCTTCAGCGCAGATCTTCCTCAAATTGTTGAGTAACACGCAGAACTTTTTTGAGCATGGAATAATTCTGCAATGGATTTTAGTTATTTAAATAATAGAGCTGCTCAGTCATGAGGTCATTTTTAGGTCAACAAGTAGCTAAGGCTAAACTGAGCTTAGTGAAAAATAAATATAGGCTACTAAAATGTACTTGAAATACATTTATTTCATGCGAAGTATATGACAAATACATTTAAAAATGTATGTACTTAATAAAAATACCCTGCAATTGTATTTTTAGTATACTGAACTGGTATACTTAATGTCTGCAACTAATTTTGTACTTAATGCACTTTAATTATGCGGAAGTAGTGCTGAAGTCCAACTAAAGGTATACTTAAGTACATTTTATTGTGCTAAAGTGGAACTATTGCAAGTATACTTCAGTGCACTTTAAATCTCTTGCATTTAAATACTGATATTATTCAAAGATCATACAATCCTCATCAACAGTGACATTAAAACACATTTTAGGCTTAATATTAAGAAATGTGCATTGTGCACAAGTAGTACACCAAATAAAGTTTAATTATCATTTTTATATCTGTAAGTCTCAAGCGATATGTCCGTAAATATGCTAATAGATCTGAACTTTGAGCTATGCTTAGTATGAAATAAATGTATTTTAAATGTATTACTTTTTTACTAAGGGACATGTGGGTTTTTCCAGAATAGCTATTTTTAATTATGAATAAAACAGGGTCTGTGGTTAGCACTACTTGAAGAGACTTTTATATGTAAAGTCAAGTCAAATCATAAGTGTGAATTTTGAAAACATTTTGGTAATCATCACAGATATGTAATTTTAAACCTGAAACCCCATTAGAAATTCTTAAAGCTGCAGTCCGTAACTTTTTTTTGGTTAAAAATGATCCGAAATCAATATTTGAGCAAGTACATAACCAGCCAGTGTTCAAAACTATCGCCTTACTTTAGCCCGATTCACAACGCTCATCTTATAATAATGTTTTCTAATTTGAGTGGTATGAGTAGGTTTTCGCAGGAAATTCGAGCATGGCACTGCATCATTACATCATGTCTGTAAACATAAAGAAG